TATGTTTCTTATATGAAGTTGTTTATAGTATGATTCCATTTCAATCGGTTTTTCCCCATTTTCGACTAACTTTTTGGCAACATTTCCTCGCTGTGCTAATGATAACCTTTAAAAATGGCGTCAGGCAAGAATGGAGTTGATAGAACTATATTGGCAGCACCGAATTTTAGCGATGATTCAGGCTAGGTGAAGATTAGTCCGATTAAATGGACGAAGATACTGGCAACAATTCAGAGCATGAGCATGCAGATACACGCTGTAGGGGTCAAGAAAATGTCGAAGAAAGAGAGCAAGCGGGCGCTTCGGTGGCCACAAAATGTACACTGTCAACTGTAAGACATTGCTTAAGGCAAAGAGCTCTCCAAACAAACGTTAAGTTAATACATATATAGATTTTGAAACCCTGATATGTCTACTTTCTAAATATGTACGGTTATAGGCACTTTTACCTCAAAGGGAACTTTTGAGATGTTATTTAGTGTATGTATTTCAAAGCTGAAGCAATATGACAGAAAAACTCAGTGTTGTTTCGGGAAATTGCACATAGATAATTAAAAAGGGAGATTGCTTTGTTTGAATCAGTACCCTTGAGAGTTTGGCAACACAATGAGCACATCCGGCAAATGAAATTCGTCATACATATGCAGTTAAAAAGAACCAACCGATCCTGGTAAGAGTCTTGTAGGCCTATCAAACCTCTAATTTTCACTTGTAACCTTAATTTGTTAACCGATTAAAACACACTTTGCTGCAATTAACTTTTTCGTTGCTTGCGGACACAAAGCCCGTCCAAATTCAGGAACAATAGATTAATTTGTCGAAAATTGAAAAGCTTGTTCGCTTCCTAGCGCCCTGCAGCTCACGTATTGTCAAGATTATCATACATGATTGGTTTGTTCGTTAGACCACAAACACAAAGGGAAAGGAATGTGGTTCGATTCTCAGCAGCCGTTTGTGGCGAGGAGCGTTGCGTGGCGACACTAAAAACGGCTGTGTAGCAGACTACCCGTCCACCCCTTTGGTGTTGCCCCTGTCTACCTAAAGAAGCTTGCAATTTTCAAGGAGAGTGGTTCCTACAATTTAACATCTAATATAAGCTGCGAATTAAAGGTCCCGAAACAAAGTTCAAGACCCTTGGGGACAGGGCCTTCGCATGTGTTTGCTCCTCACTGTCAAACACTCTCCCTTCAGCTATCAGGAGTATCCGGAGCGTTCAAGGTTTCAAACAGTCTCTAAAGACCTTTTGATTTCGTTTGGTATTTGCCCAGTGAACCAATTCGTGTACAGTGATTGCGATGTTTTATTTTCATTTTCTCTTAGTGCACTGTCTGTTATATTTAGTGTGCTAGCATTTTCATCATATCCTGCTTTTGAATCAGCTCCTTTCGTCTCAACTCCAAATCCTCCTTTCTCTTTCTGACTTTTCTTTCACAAATTGCACCACTTCCGACGTCGATCTTCTTCCTTTCTTCACCGTCTGGGCTTGTTCGTCTTGTTTCCCAACATTCCTTTTCTTGGTTTCACCCAAACGCTCAACCGCTCGGTTGCGGTGCTCCTCCGCTACTGCTTTTTCAGCTTATTTGTTATCCTCTTGCAAGCTTCTCGCATCCGTGGCCGCCTTCTCTTTTTCTATGATTTCTTCTGACGCTTTGTCTAGCTTTGTTTTCTCACAGTCTATCCCAGAGGCAGCTTCTTCCATTCTCATTTTCGCTTTGTACTTTTGTTGAAGTAACGTCAGCCTGTCTCTGAGACTTCTCTCCGATACCTTAAACTTAAGATGACCCACCAGAGGCATTTAAATTGGCTGCTATGTCGTTCCATAAATCTCCTCTTTCCTTACTACGGTAAGGATGTTTCCAAGGTTCAGCCACTAAAACCTCTTCACAAAGATTCAAGTCGTGGAGATCTGTCCACTCCATTCTGAAGAAACCCGATACTCGGTCAGATCATTGTCTCAAATCTTACAAACGTGCATAAACTAAATACCCGCATAAGCTACACTCGGCTTCATTAAATTAGATACAGAAAACAAACATCAAATACAATAATTACTCTGCCTTACCATTCGAGATGCAGCTCCTGAGAAGTGTCAAGTGAGGCCAGTATCGCTTCAGACTTTGCAACCCTCTAACGGATCAAGTAAGGTGAAAACGAAAACGATGCCATCCGAAATCGGATTTCCGACTTTGACAGGCGGCGTATTTCTCAACCAAAAACCCAATAAACAAACTAGTCATGAATAACAGAAGACTTCTGATAGTAGCTGAATTTCATTTTGTACATCCAGTGGAAAAAGACAGTTAAAACATCACATGAGCTTTTAAGTTGACACAAAACTCTGTCAGCTTCAGCTGTCAAAGTAAACAAGATTCAAGATGCTGCATAAATTTTCCGCATGAACTCACCTGCCAGATTTTGACCAATCAGAGGATAAAAACTGAATCTAGAGGGTGACCACCGCGTGACCATGGTGAGAAAAGCAACTCTCTTTCCTGCCGGTAACAGCTGGCTGAATTTTCACGTCCGAGGTCAGTTTGAAATCAAAATTTTAATTGTGCGGCACATAAACACAACATATTTCATATGAATTAAAAAAAAACCTGAGCCCGCGATCACTTGAAAACTAGTAACTTGTCAGCGGATAACTTCAAAAAATACTCGACTTCGATGGGTCGACACCTGAGCCCGCGATACGGTCAAGTGATACTGGTCAGCGGGTACCCTGTTTTGACAGCTGTCAATTGATCAAAACATTGATGTCCAATACGCGGGCATGATCAGTTTTCCTGTGCTCCCAAACTAGCTGGAACATATAAGATTGAACATTGTTCACGATCTAGTAAAATAATTAACTGGTCAGCGGACAGCTTTCAAATAAATCCCGTCGCGTTGACCATATTCCATGAGTATGGGGCTCTGTCCCACGCGCGCTTCGAGCGCGCGGGAGCCCCGCTAATAAAACAAACGAAACACTTTTTTTTATCTTACAACTTTTCCATAAAAGAAAAACCTGTGAATATTCCTGGCGGGGGCTTCTCGATCTTGCTTGACGCTAAATCCATGCAAAAATCTTTTACTCTCATAGTATATCAGCGAAGATCTAAATGGGCATCCGCTTGCCAGCGGGAAAACCATATAGATATCACACAAATAAATTATCGAACTAGCAAAATAAAACAATTCTACAGGGTGTTTCAAAAGTTCGTTCCGATTGTAAATTGTATTTTGCCGCAAAGCATTTAATGCTTCTTTAGGCAAATGTAAACTGATTCATGTAAGAAATTTATCTAAATAACCGTAAAAAGCAATTTCAAACTAAAATTTGAAGAAATTATAATGTTTTTGAAGTTTTGCCCCAAATGTGAACGTACGCGAGTTTTTCCCGCCATATTTTTCCTGCCCATTTTGTAGGTTTTCTATTTTCGTTTTTTTCCGTTTTCGTCAATTTTCTCCACTCTGTCACGAAAATGAAGGCTTACACTGTTTGCGCTAAAGCTAAGGCATCTACTTTTTTGGTTCTCTGGCCATTCAGTCAAAGAAATTGTTAAACTGTTGACTGAAGTCTGAATGATATAAGTGCACAAGTGATCGAACGTAAAAGACTTTAGAAGACAAACCAAGGAGTGTATAGCCGTCTTTTTTAAAATGTGTGAGAAATGTTATCGAAAAAGATGTAAGTATATGCGTAAGAAGTTTGCAAGGCAGAGAGGTAACAAAAAACTTCAACTTCACAATATCAAAGTTTCGAGCACAACGGTATGAATATGTATGAAAAGCAAGGGTTGGAAAGCCTTGAAGAGAAAAAGGCGGCGAACATGCAGACATGGTGTCAGAAGGATTTGGAAACTTCTTAGCAAGGGAGACCGGCTAGCAAACTCACATGATGTGAACCCTCTGGAGACCATCTGGATTATCATTGACGAGAAAACATACAAAGAACCAAATCACTGGACGAGCTAAGGCAGTGCCTACGCTTCGCCTGGAAACGTGTGCCTGTAGACACATTTTGGGAGCTCGTACATTCTATACGTCACCACTTAGAAAATGTCAGAAAACATAAAGAAAGACATTCTGGTTAGCGATATTTCGGTTATTCAATGTTAAATGAATAATGAATAACATACTAAGTTTTACGAAAGGTATTTTTAATAATTAGTAAATTTTGAGCGAAGAAAAAATCGGAACGAACTTCTGAAACACCCTGTACATGTTTTCTTTTCTGGCTATCTTACAAATTCTAGTTATTAGGAGATTAAATGGAAGAAATAATTTAATTTTTTCTACGCTTGCGAGCGGGCGGAATCCTTTAAATCCTGCAATCTGATTGGTTCCAAGAGCGGGTGATTTTTTACGATCTTGCCCGCTAACCCGGGCGGAATCGTTGTCAGCTTCATTCACAAGTTTTTTTTCTTTGTTTTTGAATGAGCAGAAACCGTGATTTTTAAGCCATTTTTCTTTTAAAACTTGCGCTATTATTGACATTAGCTAGGGAAAAGTGAATTTTACGCGCGTCCAGGTTTTCATTTACCCGTGTCATTTCTTTGACATCTGTCGTTCAACATTCGCCCATGTGTATCTTATTCAATAGCGTGCAGCAGGTCATGTTATAGATAACGTTTGAAAAGGTAAATGCGTGCAGCCGAAAAGCTTTTCCACATTGTAAATGAAAGGGCAAGTTTTGCATTGCATGCGTGCTTATTTGAAAGTCCAAGGTTGATCGTCAGCCTCAAAAGCGCTTAAAACTAGAAAGCTGTCTGTCACGTTAAAATAAAATAAGTACATAGTGGTTGCCAAAAGATTCTCTTACTTTCAGGGTCGGGATTTCGTAGCATTTTGTAGTTTGTGTGTGAAACCGGGATAAAACCATGACAATTTTAAAAATAACTGAAATTAAAAAAAAGCAAACAAACAAACAAAACAAAAATTTTAAAACACAAGAGTCCATACTGAAAATAAGAAAACATTAGGCTAATTAATCTTAGGTGAAAAAGGAAATACACTTACAATTTAGTGGTTGTAGTTGGAATGCAATTCCAATTATTTGTTATGTGGCTTTTATTACAGTTGTGTTCGTTAGTAACTTTGCCAGAACTTGTTATCGAACCTGTACTGTGACACAAATGATTGCAATCTGCAAAATGAATGGACGCAAGAATAAGACAATTGGTAGAGGGAAGTTTTCAAGAAAGCGGTACATTCCGATATATCCATTAATACAGTATTAATAGACAATAACGAATTTTCATTTTTACTCATTGATTAAGGGTCAGGCCCATAGGGAGGGGGGATGCGACGGATGCGCTCCCAACCCCCCTCCCCACAGGGCCCAGAGGTCCACTTATTTTCTGTTGACCACCCCCTCCCCGCTCTTTTACTCCCTCCATTTTATGCGCGGTCTTTGACTCTCGCTCCTCGTTCTTTGCTCCGAAATCGCACGGAAACGCTTCGTACGCAGGCTACTTACAGGAGCCACTGATGGGCTACAAGGGGTAGATCTTGGATCCTTTTTTTTTCTTTAGCGTATGCATTGTTCCTTTTTTGTGTAGCCTTTTGTCTTTGAGGATAGTTTAAAATATCAGCTGTTTTCTGCCAAAAAGTAGTATATTCGCGGCACAACAAAAGCTCTCTCCACTGGCTAATAAACGCATCCACTATGTAACATACATTGATCTGAAAGAAGTCTTTGATTGATCTGTTTCTAACAAACACCCAAGAAATTTTGAGCTTGGTACACTATTAAAAGATCATGATTCGAACATCATGCATCATACCCAGCGAATAGTACGGACTTACAACTTTCCTTCTATTTTTTTCCTTTTAAATAGCGACATCCCGAATTAATGTCACTATAAAAAATTGTAAAATAAAGTACTCTATTTGAAAAAATTACTTTTGAAGATTAAAAGTTTGAGAAATACCCAGTTTTTCAAAATGCTCCAAATGAAGTCTCAGGCAAGCTAATTCTCCCCACCCGAGAGACTCTGGCAACGTTTGGTCCGTCTCCTCGTTGGATCGCATCTCCCCGTAAAAAATTCTGGCTACAGGCCTGAGGGCAGGGGGGGAGGGTAACGCTATTGTTTTCCACCTAAGTTTCTTGCCCACTCCGCCTGCCAGTATGAGGTCACATAGTAACTGGCAAGAGCTTCGGGTCGCTTGTGCAAATTAGCAGGGGATACGACAGTTATTTGGGCGAGCGAGGTCGAGGAAAAGTACAGAAGCTAACAAATATCGCTAATCGCTAATTTGATCGAATGTATGTGAGCTTTGGTGTTGCTATAATCTGCTTGTGTAAACCGTTTTGATAGTTTGTGTGCGTGATTGTAAAATTTTGTTAATTTGTTTTGCGAGCCGTGTTGCGCGATCGCCATCTATTTTACGGGACCGGCAAGGTCATCAAACCTTAAATATTTTTTCCTTTAAAATAGGCAAGGTCTAGTCTCCAGAATAGGAGGTTCCATTCACAGATCATGCATGTTTATATTTCATCTACTCTTTTGCTAAGCAAATGGGCCTAACTTCATATCATTCCTTTCTAGTACGGGCGTCTGTTGATCTCCTAATTCTCCACCAAATTCAGTAAAGTTAGTTCGATCGATTATCTCAGGGGCACCCAACGAGAATATAGTTCAAAACCACTTAAACATAGCATTGATAAACGTATTTTAGTGTTTGAACTGCTAGCTGAAAGTCTCGAGATCCGAAAATCATAGGGATCAAAACTTACCTTTTCGAAAGTTTCAGCCAGAAAAAAGGATCAAAAAGGCTCCCGAAAATTCTAGGTGAGCTTTTTAGGGTATAAAAATCCGTTTAAAATGGGCAATTACACCAATTTTTAGATGTTCGAGAATCCTAGGAGAGGTAGGCAAGCAAGAAATTTTACAAAAAATGTTCTGAAAATTCTAGATCTCAAATCGTCTTCCGAACAGATATTTTCCGAAAATTGACGTTGGGTATTCCTGTTATCTACATCGAGTCGGCCCGTTGAACCGGAAATAATGCGGAATAGCTTTGAAATACGCGCTTAAGCTAGTTTTCCTCTAATGTATATTTGAATTCACGATAAACACAGCTCTACCAGCTTCAAACAGCGTCTATGGCTGAGAAAAAATGTTTTGATATGACAAAATTAATTATCCAAATCATGTATGTCACTGTGGTGCAGTGGTCAAGGAGTTTCTTGCACGTGCAGATAAACCGGGTTCGACTCCCGGCGACGCTGCTTTCTGTTCCTTTTTAAAGTTTTTTTTTTCCTGTTTGGTCTCTTTTTTTTAACACTATTTTTCCTTTTGGCCTTTTTTTCTTTATTCTTACTGCAGACCCTGCTGGTCATGCACTTGGATCAATATATAATTTAAGCTTAAGTCTGTAGTTTTATTTTGGAAAAGGGATTTCAAAAGCTCTTGATCTGCATACTGGCCAAGCTTACGACCAGATTAAAACCATAAGCTGTCAAGACATGTCCCTCCTCTGAAACAGCCGAATTTTTTTCAGTGTTAGTTGACATCATGACAAACACACACAATACACCGCAAACTGTACTAATTTACACCCAACACCCACCAGTGACCCACTGGCGAAAGTTAAACTTGCCTTTTGTACATCGTCTCAATCATCAATATTATTACCCTAAAATTTCCACTGGGTTTGCCCCAAGAAAAAATTAAACGAAACCTCTTATTCGTTTTCGGGATAAAATTACAGAATTACAGGTATATGCCCAATACAGTATTAAAATGCGGTGAAGTAACAAGATTCAATGCTCACAGTCTCTCACAAATACCTGTCATTAAGCTTCCTCTTTCAACGCTACAGCTAAGCGAACTTTCAGAGGAATGATACGGGGTTTCACTAGCTCTGAAGAGCTGAAAATACGCACAATGTAAAGTATAATACATCCTTTGATGAACCTCCTATCGCTGTGTCTAAACTCTTCAATCTTGCTGTGCACTGGCCCTCAAAAGTGACCGGTCGGTATGATTGCCCGTAAAATCTGCTCGACGGTAGAAAGGAATCCTTAAAATTCATTACACCACTGGACATTTCATCCGAAAAAAGTAGTTAAATCTAGTTTTCTATGACAATAGAAACCTTAAAATCTCCAAATCCAAGAAATCGGAGCGGTATTTCCGTGATAAAATCGAAATTTTTATCCCTTTCTTCGATGAACACTTTGCTCGCCATTTTGAAAGTCACTGACGCGAGTCGTGACGTCATACTGGCAGGCGGACTGTACCACAGATTTCCTTGGAGACACCTTCCCCCCCTGTCTGAGGGTGAAATCCAAATTTCCATTGTTTGGTAAATCCTCATTGTTTACAAACTTTAATTGACACAAATTACCCGTGTTCAAAAATGGTAAAACATGCAAAAGCAAGTCTTCTAAAACTAACCAAATGAACTGAATCATCAACGGATAAAATAAGGACGGAAGTCAACACAACCGTTTGTGCGAACCACTATTAATAGTTGTTTATTGCAAAATGCCTCATCTACATTGAATGAAATTTAACAGCATTGAATCCTTACCCAGAAAGGTTACTTCAACCGTTTTTGAGTCATTTCCTTCATTGTTCTCTGCTAGTAGAGTGTAGTTGCCCTTCCGATGTAGTTGGATCCCTTTTATTATGTAAACACCCTTCAAACGTGTTGATGTATTCACTAATGTCGAGTTAATCGGTGGAGTACCTTCCAGTAGAAACCAGATATAATGTCCTGGTACAGATTTTACTACTGGTAACGGTAGCCTTATCCTCGGCTTCTCTGAAAATGAACATTAAGAAAGTTTCTAAGCTGTCCCGATCTCATGTCATATCACGCTGCAAATAAAATTTGAGTTGCTTAAATCTACTTAAATAATGCTCCAAAAATTATAGATAACTTTATACTCCCCTGTAGAACACCACGCTAAGCGATACTATATATATCATATCTCATATTGTAATAAAACGCCTCACTTCACACAGGAATCAAACAACTGATAGTCAGTAGGAAGAACAGTGAAAATACAGGGAAGCCGTCTTTATGATGTCAGTTACTTGATTTGAATCGCGTTATCAAATAGTTGGCATTAAAACTAAGCGTTTGAATTATAAACTGATGAGCCATCAGTTTTCCTAAACTGCCAAGAGGGAGTTTAGTCTGCTATAAAATTCTAATCCCATAACTTCCCAGGAGGTTTTTGACAACAGTGGAGCACTTCAGTCCAGGGGTTTGTTTACACGACGGCGTTTACACTGTAGTCAATGTTTGATGTATGAGCTGTTTAAGCACTTCGAAGTTAGGCCATGAGTGTCGTTGAATAGAATGATATATTTTTGTTGTTTTGATTACAGTTTCTTATTGCTGAAAAACAAAAGCTGATATTAAAGAAGCCTGTAGTAATACTTAACACTTCAACCTGAAAGCAAAAGCTTCCTTGGTATGCTAAATTTCCACTAAAACTCTCTCGTTTTAATTTTTTCTTTTGCTTATACAAATTTAACGAGACCGTTAAAGGGAGGATTTAGGTGTCACTGATTAAGAGGGAATAACATCTTAAGTTTTTTACTTTATTTTATTTTATTTTTTTTGTCTCTAGAAAAAATAAATATGTAAATAAAATTTCATTATTTGTAGGGTCTACGTTACTATGCAGCCCTCGCCATTCCCGCGTTCTCTTCATTCCCCAGTCCACCACATTCCAAGGTGAGTATTTTTGACTCCAGATTACTTACCGCGGTTCTTTGCACGTCCATATAATTACATTACATTCCTTATGTCAATAAATAACAAGTCGCATGCATAACATCTTTGTCACTTGCTTTAAATTAAACTAACGGAAAAGTATAAGACAATGTATAAAAGGAGTAGTTTCAAACTTAAAAGATAACTTGGTCACCATGTCATTATTTTTGAAATGTTTAGTTAGAGTGATAATCTTTTTACCTATTTATCTATTTATTTATTTATTTATTTATGCACTTTTGATGACTAGTCTATAAAATATTTCTCTCAGTTTTTCAAGGCTTTCCTGTTCATGTAGTACTGACCTTTGTCAGACTTGGCACAATCAGAAGAACACTTTACATATAACTTTATTAATTTACATGGGGAGTTGAAAAATTATTACTACAGCTTTTGACACTGTTTCTGCTTTTGACAGTTGCGCCTGCCAGAGTATATTATGAGGAGCTAATTAACATTCTTATGGTTTGTTATTAAAACTTACTATCACTAACCTTTTTTTTGACTTGTATAATAAGTTCCTTTAAAGTTACAAGGGGTGGAGAGAAAGTCTTTTTGTAAAGCCACCATCATGAATCGACCACTTGTTTGTATGATGAAGGGCCGTCTTGCCCCTGAAAAAATTACCAGTATGGTATCATTTTTCCTTTTTCCGTCATGCACCTCGATCCTTGCTTGACCCCACCAGGGATCATTAGATAGACTAAATATCTTAAATTTCAGTTTGACGGAGTGGTTAGATGGTGCAGTGATGATCCAGCTACAATGCTTATAGTTCTTGGTGCCACTGGAACTGATGAACCCACTGGAGCCATTAACAGAAAACAAACACGGTAAAGTGTGAACAACTGCAAATAAATGTGCGAAAATCAATGTTAAAAATCTCACAAAGTTTACTCTCTTGACAGGCTAACTTGTGACGCTAAAAATCTTTTTACAAATGAAAACTCTCTTCAGTTCCGTAGCATCAGAAGAGAATTGATTTTTGTTCGCTATTACATCGGCTGATGATGACTTGCAACGTCATCTCATAATCGACCGTGTCCCTAGGTATTTTGATTCTGTAATCGTGAGCTATATTAACTACTATCATTCACGATAAGCACATCGCAAAAATGACTTCAGAATGACTCATTCGCAACGTTTGTTTGACTTTTGTCACTTTTCTTATTTTAATGAGTCAGAAAGACATTTATATTTTTATGACAAAAGACAAACAAAGAGGAATTCGTTAAAGCTAATTTCATTTTGTTTGTCTGAATGTCGGCTCTTTAAAAAGTAACGCCATGGGTAATGAGAAAAAAACAATGCAGAAAGACAAAGGAATTCAGTAAAGAAAGGGACGAGTAATCAATGCATTATGTTTGGTTGGCAAACACAGAGACTCACAAAGAGCCAATCAAACGCAACCGCTGAGAACAAAATATCCACTCTCCCCTCATAGTTATATTTGAAGGCATATTATTTGTTGACGTTGTGTTTTCAGGATAAGGGAAATTAATTTACTACGATTTAAATGATTAAGGAAGTTTTGACTGATTGTGCTTTACCATTTGGTGACGGACGACGAGTAGCGAAAAACAGCATTATTTCTCACCAGTTCCTCTTCTTTGGACTGGTTTTCGGCTATTTAGCATAAGAATGCAACAAAAAAAGCATATTTTCCGACTACTCGGACGTAAATAGACAGCTTTTTTTTCACGCATGCCCACTAGCCAAAAGTTGAATTTTTTTCCGAATCTATTTCGATCTTTCTCTCTCGCTCTCTCTTTGCCTTTCTTCTTTATTAGCAGTTTTGTGGCCCACTTTATCCTCTTTCCTTTGCGTGGAATTGTGGCTAGCCAACTTTTTAGAAAAGGGACAAATTTAATCTTCAAAGAGTAGTAGGTAAACAAAATTGGCAGTGGATTTTTCCCCAAAATGTTACATTTTTGTGAGTGTAACTCTGTTAAAATTAGTCAGAAAATCCAAAACGAGGTGTGGCTGGAAAGATCTATCTTTGCTGGCGTTATTGCTTACCAATTTATTAACTTAAACTGAAAGCTAAATGGGTCCAGGAAGGAAAATATGCATCGTTCCATATGGAACGAAAACGGCCAAAGCGGTCGTCCAGGGATTAATTAATAAGCTTGTTTGGTTTACAGCAAGGGTATGAAAGGTAGGCTAGTAGGGAAAGACTCGCTGTTTAGTAATTGGAATTATTTGAATGGACTGAGTAACCGGTCCTAGAATATCTGACAACTTTTTGAAAGAGACAATAACAAGAGTTGGTAATAGGTAAAGACCTGATGAAAATGAAATATGGTTTATGTTTGATAGATTTCCCAGACGGATTATGGTAGCGGCTGGTCTACATGCTACAAGCACACTTGGAGTAATGTTGTTAAATGTAATGTATAACAACAATTTCTGCATTTCGATTGGCGTAGAACAAGTCAATTTATACCAACACTTTGCTTGTCAACCAAAAATTAATTCGAGCACATCTATTATCAACTGCACTCAAACTCATGTGATTGCCCAAACAAACACGTCAGTTTTGATGACTTATTTTGTTCTAGACTACAAGCTACCTTACTGCTACATAACAAAGAGAAAAAACATACGAGAGGACAATACAAACAAATCATAATTTTACTTGCCTTCAACTGTCCATACTGACACCAAAATTAATCCAAGGAAAACTCCTCCTTGCAATGGCATCTGTAAATAATAATAATAATAAAATTAAGATGGTGGTCTTTTCAAGTAGACCTGATTTGCATCATGTGAGTATAGCCGTCGTATCTGCCCTTTGGATTTTTTTTACTTTTCTTGAGCTTGAGAACAATAACAAATTTTAATCGGCAAATGCAAAAGCCTTACATGAATGCTGCTAATCAATCCACCCCTCACCTGTTCTTGGCGCATCACTGATGTTGACTCTCTCGCAACAAAGTAAACAGAGTACTAAGTAGTAACAAAGTGCCTGTTATTAGGTCATTAAAGTTAGTTTTAATGATGGTCATGAGCTCGGAAAATTTCTCATTTGGTTTGGCTGTCTAATAAATATAACGAATAATGACAAATATCTAACAATTTAGTGGTAGCACATCCACATCATGTTTAGTGATTCCTCGTCTAACCAGCAACAAACTCAACCGCATATGTTGTCGACACCGGGATTTGAACCCAGGCTAAATTAATGGGACGCGAGCACCCTTGCTATTAACAAACTCAAAAGGTAATGGCGTAATCGATTGCAACTTACAAGAAAGGACCGAGTTAGGGAAGCATTATCAGAAAAGTGATGGGGGGAGGTGTAAGTCAATATGAGTGGGAAAAATTGTGTAGACCTTTCCAAGCAGTCAAGAACATTTCTTTCCACCCTTCTTTTAAGCCTTCAGTCACTGAAAGTAAAGTAGCTCACCAACTCCTTTTAAATGGGAAATTGGTAACAAACAAGTAAAGTTCGTACTGGATGGTAAGAAACACAGCGAAAGACTTGGCTTCAAAAAGCTTTCAACTACGAAGTGTTGGAAGCCAGTATATCAAGCTTAAAACTGTGAAAGGCATTTAGGTTAGACAACATCGTTATTGATCACAAATCAAACATTTTGAACGCAAGGCCAGGCCCTGTTGTCACACCTGTAAACCTATGATTATATGTTATCAGGAAAAATTTAAAAATTAATAAATTAAAGAAAAAAAAACATTTGAACGAAAACCTGTGTGATAGCATCGCTATCACCAGGAAAGGACTAAGCACTGGCCCAAAAAGTTATTTAACGGTCTCCAACTACACCTATAGGCACATAGAAGGCTTATGCTCCCAATACAACGGACCGACAGGGAAAGAAAGACTAATCCCTGAGCTGTAGATATTCTTAAGCGCGAGAAATTCTGTTCTATACCCGGTTCAAGAAAAAGAACACTTCAGTCACTTTTCCATGTGTTTACAAAATTCTTTCTTCGTCTTTTTTCAGTGCCCCACGAGAGGTAGCACCCGGAATTTACAAAACAACAAGCAAGTTCAAGTTGATCGCTTGTCCAGATCTTCTCTTTATGTCACGTACTCTGTCTGACCAGCGACGTTCAACGGGTGTGGAGTGGATAAACTACTTACCCCTTGTGCTCACTTGGAATACGCGCACCTGCCCATCCTGACCCGGGAAAACTTCTACCATTCGACCAAGATGTCAGTGACCACGTGAAACATTCTGATCACAACGAGCACGAACTCTTCACCTTTCAGATTCTCCTTCGCCGCTCTCCATTTCGTTCAGGTGTTAAGTATTGCCAAAAACTCTTCTCCCCAGCGCCTTCAGAACGCTTTCACCAAGTTCTAAATAAGTCTCTAACGGTTCCTGGAGCTAAACACCCTTTCACCAGTAACTTGAGGTACTAGTTGTCCTCCGAACTGTCCAACTAAGAAATGGTTAGGAGTGAACACTGGCTCGTCTCGGGCGCAGCTCCTTCATACGTCAATGGTCTCGAGTTTATCAAGTTTATTCTACCTATTTTTAGCAGTTTGCAGTTCTTCGTCGCATCGGTTAGCCCTGCATTTCCAACTGTTACCTTCAGAGTTTTCTTAGCTACTTTAACCTGCAACTCAAACACCCCATTGAAGTGAGACCCCAGCAGAGGATTTCAATTCCATCTGATCCCGTTGCTGGGAGCATTATCTTCGATCTACACTTGGTCTCTTTGCTTTAAAAAGTTCTCTGAGCTTTCTCTCTGCTCCTACAAAGTTTGTCTCATTATCACTTGTGATTTTGTACGGTCTTCTTCCGGTCCCCTAGTAGCTACCATTCGGCTAGACGCATTCAGGAAATCTGTACCGCTCTGCTTGGAGAGCAAGTAAAAAGGCACAGATATTTTTTGAGCAGATAATCTTTGTGTAATCTTGGTTGTAAGGGGCCCAGCGCAATGAACACAGTATTTTGCAAACGCTCTTTTCAGGTTTCGACCTTGGAAGTGGGGCCATGATCTGCACTGCTCTCTAGGCACGTCTTCTCTCACACAACTTGCATTCTTTGTCCGACTTCTGCACCTCTTTCGGATCATCTATGAACCAGTATCGATTTCGTACCTGAGTTAGCACGTGATTTGCATGATTGCAACGGTAGTGGACTTCCGCAACAATTGGGTGATGTAATGTTCCCTTGGCATGTACATGGGGTCTGCTGCATTATAAGGTAGTTCTGGTTGCTCCAGCTGCCCTCCGACTCGTAATATGCCTAGTTAATCCACAATGGGCGTAATAGGTTTCAAGAGTTTTTCCTTCTGACTTCTTTATCTCAAATTAAATTTTTTATATCTTTAGGAACTCTTTCCTCCTTTGCTTCTTTTATCACAGTTTTGCAGCTCTGTCTATTTACCTGAAGTCAATATAACTTCGCTCCAATTCTAATCACCCAAACGTTTGTATGGTTTCTTTACTTGGCCAATAAGTGATCAGCAAATCATCTCAGACACGCTATTAGTTTTTAAGTCGGTTCCAACTCGCGTAATTTAGTCTGATTCATCAATGGTTGTGAAACCTTTAACCCAAGGATTTAACTATCTGAGCAAGACACTCTTCTGAATGCTCCTCATACGCTATGCATTTTCCTTGAGGCCAGTCACTTTTATGCTCATACAGGAACTCAGGTGCATTGACCAGCGATACTTACTTCTCACCTCCGAGTGTGGCCCCGGAGTCGCATCAGACGCACAATTCAAATTAGTTG